GTCTAATTATAAAAGTAACTAAAATGTAAAAATATGGATCCTTTTATGTTAGTTAAGATTAGATCAGGTAAAATAAATAATATTATTATAATAAAAATGTTTCACGTGGGTAATGTAAATCATTAGTGTAACATGAGCTGCACATTCCCCAAGTGACTTACAACATATAATGGGAAGGATAGTAGTTAGACACAATTCAAATGGCAATAAAACAATAAAATTGTAAATAGATGTATACTGTTATGAACTTAGAGCTACTTAGGATAAATGATTGTAGTTTCATGTTACAATTTGAAGTCATTCTACAAAGAAAAAATGGGTAATTTAGATGTATTTCGATTTTTTTTTTGGTGGTTACGAGGTCGGTTGAATTGATTGATTCCGTTTTGAGATAGGGTAGAGAAAATAACAGATAAATTATAATGTTTTACTGAAAAAATAAACGTTTCCAATACATTTAGGAGGTTTTACAGATTACATAAAGGAAATATGATATTTTTGAGATGAGGAAAAGTATTTTTAATTTTAACATGAAAATTATTTTGCACACGGACTATTTAAAACAAATACTCAATATATTGATGGACAAATCTTTATTTTATCAAAAATACTTCACTAAAAATATGATTGTTTGTATGTGAAAGACTTATAATATTAACTGGAAGACTGTCAAAGTTTGTGAAGATATACACACTATATTGAAAGTTAGAAGTATTAACTCTATAAAGACTTTAAACGAGTACAAAGAGGTCATGTGGTCAGTCAAATTGACCGAGTATGTGTTAAGAGAGTGAAACCTGAGGCTATAGGACAGTCACTACCAAGACTGAAAATATCGAAGTCAATGAGTATTGGAAGGACAGATGGTGAAGGAGAACCAGTTTTCACTGAGCCAATCACCCTCAGATTGATTGGAATATTATCACCACCTTTTAGATAATTTTCCACTTTCCAAGAAATAGAAGGAAGGACAGATCTATGGCAGCAAATTTCTGACTTGGGGCATGGAAATAGTTATGTACTCCAGAACTGATGAGAGAAAGGTTGTAATCCAAGAGCAAAAAATGCTACAGATCAAGCCCTTCTGTCAATATTTCCATCACCCAAAAGTAAACTGTGTACTTTTAAGTCTCCCAGGATGATAAAGGGAGATGACAACTGCATAATAATATCACCAAGGTCAGCTTGGTCAACTTTTTCTCCTGGATTCGGGTAAACAGAGCAAAATGTGATGGTACAACTAATTGAGACACAAACGACAATGTCCTACAGAGGTGTGGTGAGTGGCATATTCATGGAGGGAGTATATTAGTCAATCAGCAATTACTAATAACAACTTCTGAGTGAAAAGGAAAAAAAAAAAAAAGGAAAGATATACAGAGAATTGTAATAATCCTTCAAAGCCTTGGTGTCATATAAATTGGCATGAAAACCTTTACAGTTTCATTGCATTAATGTGGCCATTTTTTAATTAGATTTTTTTTAGGAGATATAGATCAGGAGCTTTTCTGACCATGTTTTTATTCTTCAGCTCCATCGATCCTGCAGTGGATTGAAGGGGCAGATCCACATTGGACAAGATTCATGTGAATAGGTGAATGACTGAATAACAGTACTGCATTTTGAGACCAAACTTTGAATCTTAAGTAATCTGTCTTTTTATCAGTTGGTGGGCACATTGACATAAAAGCATCCTAAAAAGCATGTAAGCATCCTAATTGGGACAGATAATCAATCCTACAGAGTGTAGATTTGCCAGAAATCTGATACTTCTTGCCTGGAAAGTTCAGAAAGCATTTCTAAGTCCAAAATGTTAAAAAAGTACCTCTCAACAATTAGTCCTCTCGGGAAACTGAAAGTACTGTGTTGAGTTAACTTGGATGTATTTACCCCAATGGCCTTTCATTTCAAGAAAAGTTTATCATCCTGTGGTTGTGATGTTTTGACCAGCAGGTCCCAGATTGTAGTTTCTTGACCTATTTTGGAGAACCAGTAAGCTCCTCTAATTTTTTCTGTAAGAAAAAAAGAGACATCTTCCAAATGTGGGTGGATGTCTGGATCCATGATCCCAGAGAAAGTAAGTTGTACAGACAGAATTTCCTTGAGAAATCCCTCATCATGTACAGGAATTCACACTGAGGGGGACTTAGTATAAAGAAATAGCACAGTATTTGTATATATTGTCTGAAGACATGAGATATGCTATTGCTCACACTATTACAAAATATGTTTAAAGCATTAAAGGCCATTATTTAGCATAAGAAGTTTACAAGAAATGTCTCTCAGGAACAAGTTCTGACAGACCCAAAACTAGCTGTTCATTCCTGTAAAAATAAGACCAAATTAATCAAACTATGTTGCAAAGAAATGGACAACTCCAGGAAAAGAAATAGAGTCAGCTAAACTGAGCCACATGAAACTGAATTTATTGATAGTGTTGAAACAGTTAACAGTAGGTATCATGTGTCCTCTACACATGATTAGTAATGTCAAAACATAATACTTATCAATTCCTTTGAGAAGTACAAATATCAAACATATACAACACTGATGAAGAAATCCTACAGCACAGATTTAGTATGCAAAATACGAAATGCATGATCAAAGGAGAATTAGGTTCTTAGCTTAAGAGTTTCTATTTAACATTTAATATAGAGAAATTTTAAATATGTTCACTGAAAGCTTACAGGATGAGGAGCTGTGATCATTTCTTCATGTCTACTAGGTTCAAACGTATCTTCTTTATTTTTCTCAAGTTCAACATTACAATCTCCTGTCTTGAAAGAAACAAAGATCCTTTTTTAATCCAGCAGTCACCATCCTGTACCACCTAATAATGGTGGCACATGATGTCAAAACATCGTACATAATTTTTTAAAATATATCTAATATTATCCACTTTAATTTGATGAGTTTTAGTGAGACCCCTTTCTACAAAGATTACATTGATGTAACAAGGACATTTCACACAGTCAACTGGTAACATAAATAACACAACTACCCTATTGTATCTGAGGGAATTATTTAAAAAGAATGCATCAGTATGATCAATTCACCAACATAGTTTCCCTGTGTACTATGTATTGGAGATCTCTGAGCAATGCTTTCAGGCCTGGGCCATTAGACCCAAGTTTTCAATAACTGTATACAGGGTGATCTGAAGACCACTTATAGGAAATACTTCAGAAATGGAGGTATAGGAAAATAATTGTAAAAGAAATGGAATGATGTGCCATAGGCCTACTCTGTGACATTATTACTGATGTCATGTCCTTCTGAAATTTGATTAATATGCATCATTTACCTAAACAATAACCATGCAAAGTGTTAGACAACAATGAGTGAAATATTTTAAATCAATGAGAACAGACCAACTAATACTGACTATGAAGCTGCCATATTGCCATATTTTACATTTAAGTATCACTTTGAACACAGCTATTGATTGTTTGACACTCTTTCACAATACTGTTAGGATGTTAACCTCATCTGTTGTTGTTATTGTGGAGCAATGTTTCTAAGTTTAGGTTTGAAATGTTTCATTTGTTAGTGTCTATACTTTAGCAACTGACATTTAGCAGTATAGCGCATATCAATAATACTCTCACAGGGTAGGTCCACAACATATTACCCTATAATACTAATAATTATTTTCCTACATCTCTACATTTCTGAATTATTTGCTTGTCAATGGACATCTAAATCACTCAGTATAAGTATGTTTATAATAAAGCAAAAGCATTGCTTTACTAAACAATTGGGATACCAAATACAGGAAGTACCTGTCCAGTGGGTAGTAACTGAATGACACATTTTATAGTCTACTGGTTCAGCAGTTGCACACAAGTTATGTTTTATCAATATCTATGTAGTACCACGTACACCATAAAATACTTAAAAACAAATACTATAGCCCTTCATAGACATTACAAACTCTTTCTGCCAGTGAATAGGACATTACTGCAAAAGATCAATTGCTGATCATATCAGAAATAGGGAGATATTATCCTAAATACAAAGAATTCTTTATGGTAAACAGTATGGAAAGTCACAACACTGAACTGACTTTTCAAATATTTATTATTTGCAAATAGAACTAATCCTAGATAACTTATGCCACAATAGTGCAATCAGGTTAAATGTTATGAAAAATGGAAAGAAAGTTCATGAAAAGTAATCATGACATAACAACAACAAAAGCTTACTTGTCAGTAACATCATATTCAACCAGTGTTCTTAAAACATGAAGACAACACTTTTGAGATATCAGATTATCCCTACTTAGAATAGATTCAACTTTTTTTCCATAATTGACTTGATAATTTCTTATAGAATTATCAAAAAGTTGTTTTAGAGTGAACCAAGTAAACTCACCATTGTGTTTATCCTGGATAGTTTACCTGTGAGGATGAAAAGATATGTATATCAACTTAGAAAAAAAAATAAAGAGTCTAAAAACATTTCACTGTTGTACCTTTTTCACCTTTACATCTGGTTGGATGCTAGTTTCTCACAATAAACATATTCACAATATACCACATTACAGTTTTCACCTAATTTCAAATAGTTGAACTTTAGGGGAATGAGTAATTGGATGTATTTTGTACATTTTTGTTGTGAGAAGCTAGCATCTCCAATACATTTAAAGATGATAGTTGGTTGCAGTTCTAGTTCATTACAAAAATTTTGATATACTTTCAATATATGAAAAACAAAAAAAAACATTTTGGCAAATAATATGAATGGTAATTCAAGGTGGATGTTTAGTGGATTAAAGGTTCTGGTACAATAGCTGAACAGAAAACTACTTAAAAGTTAATCTAGTAAAAAAAAAAAAATATCTTTTATGAATATAAAAAAAATCCCTGAGGTTGTATATATATATATAAATATAACTTATAGTGTTTTTCTCAGCTTTTAAATGTAAACAAATTTTTAAAAAAATGATTCTGGTATTTCTTGTGTGATCTAATTCCAAAAGGGATATTGCGTTAGTTAGACTGAGCTTAAGATGTCAAAAATGTATACTTTGGAATGTGAAGCACTATCTAGTTGATGCTAAACACCATAGTTTCTTAAATTTAAATTGAAAGTAGTAATAACATAAAGTTACACACAAATAATCTACGAGACTCAAAATCTAAACAGATTAGGAAATACAACAAAACTTTCACAAATTTATAATTACAGTCATTTACCATTTGTGGTTTTTCTTGGGGTACTGGTGGAAACAGGATTAACAAAAGCATCTATACTTCTAGAAGATAAAACACTTTTTTGTTGGTTCTTTTTTGAAAGACCATGTCCAATGCAGAATTCCGAATTTTCTTCCACCTATTATATATATATATATAATTAATGTTTGTTTGAGACATTTCTCTCATGTGCATAAAAATCTGTAAACATGTTATTTACATAAAAGTGTCAAGATGTAACATAATACCATTTACTAAAATAAAGTGTACTTAAAAGTTATACAAGTAAATATTGAGACAACACCAAACATGTATTATGAATAAAAATTATATGACAGAAAGAAAAAAAACTCATGTTCAGATCAAAATGCATTAAATCTTGAGGTGATTCCCTGGATTCCTATGATAATAATTTTTTACATTTTATGAATTTAAATGAATTTCAAACAGATACTTATCTCCAAAATACGAAAAGCCAGAGTATTAACATTAAGACAGAGAAGGGAAATGGAGAGAGCCATATGATAACTTGGTCACCAAAACTGGGACTTCTAGGCAGGAAAGTAACTCTCAAGACCAGAACAAGTGAAAGATGTAATTAAGCAGACCTTGATTAGAATCCAGCATCAAAGTAAAAGTGAATGAACTGGATTCAAGAGATTAATGAATGGGCCAAATGAGAACACACAGAAAAAAAAGCATTCTTCTCAGCAGTGTTCCTCATCACCCTTTAATAAATACATAAAAGGGGAGTAGGTAGCATATATTTACCTACGGAACCGTCACATTCTCAACGAGATCCGAGGTGGTGTTGTAACAATATAATAATCAGAGGTAGTGGGAATGTTCTCATAATTGTAGGTGATCCCAAGCCAAATGGGGGCCCAAATCAGCCAGAACTGTAGGTACAATTATAGGAAAATAAATGTAGGGAGCCCAATTAGTTGTTATACAGGGAAGTCCATCTTTTGTAGTTACACCTCTGGTCAGAGGGCAATGAATTATCCTGTATTGGCAGTGAAAAATTCTCAGAAGAGTAAACCAGCATTAGCTAATGATTGGACATACTCCTGGGGCTAATTATCCTATATTCACATCAGAAAATGCTAACTGAATTATGAAGCCAGCCTACTTAATGGGCACCCAAGGAAACTCAAAAAACTGTTTCAGATCCTAGGATGGGTTCTACAACTCTAGGACAGTGCAATGGGAACAATGACTTGGTTGAGATATTAAAAACTTATCATTTTCCTATGCTGAAAATGTATTTCCGATAGCTATTCTCACTCAGTGCTGCCCTCTAAAAGCAAAAAACCTTTTAACATGTCACAAACTTTGAGCTCCCACACAACTTACAACTGACTGATTCAAATACGTAGTACATGCAAATCATCATACAACAACCTTCCACCAATAAGTGTGACACACTCTCCTGACACATGTGATTCCTTCCATTCAATTTTTACCCAACTATCACTTCGTGTTTTGGCAGAAAAATGAGAGCACCGGTTTTCAGTGGGAAGTAGGATGGGAGTCAGTACCTACTGGAAATATATTTTCAATATAGGAAAATTATAACTTCTGATAAGGTACATTTCCTCCACTCACATAAATAGCTAGAATCCCACACTGAATAGGTGGAGGGACCAGTGCAAGGGAAAGAAAGAAGCATCTTTTGAAAGTGTCTAAAGAACATCTTAAAAGAGTAGATCCTTACAGTAGATGATCATATGTGGGAGACCATACCACTTCTGTACCAGGTATACTTTTCATCCAGTGTGGAATGAGGTGTCACAGACATGGGTGGAATGTGGGAGATGTCCAAAATGGAGAGAACAATGGTTGAATTGGGATCCAAACATCTCAATCCCTTAGAATACATCAGTGTGGGTGAGAGTAAAAGGATATGCCTCCAGGTGTAGAGTAGCTAGGGTGTGAGGACCATACACAGCAAGTCAACTACATCCAAAACCCAGGCTGCTGGGAATTGACATCTATGCAGGGGTAGGATAAGGATCATACCATTGGTAAGTCAACTACAATCCAAAACCTAACCACCAGAAACTAACATCCAGGTGGGGTAGGAAAGAGGATCATACCAGCAGCAAGTCAACTACAATTCAAAACTCAGCCATCTGGTGGGGGTAGGAAAGATGATCAGACCATCTTCACCTCAAGTTCATCAGACCAGAGAATATCTCATGAGAGAAACTGGTTGGCCGATCTGGGAACCTGACTTTCAGAATCATAAAGATGTCTTTGTAATGTAAACCATCTCACTCAAAATCAAACTGACAGGAACCACCCCTAGCACAATAACAACCTTGGTATTATAAAATCATCAAGGGATAGCATAAGAGAAAGAACCATATTAATCTGCAAGCACCTCCATCATGACCCACAAAATGGATGGAGGAACAAATGTATAATTAAGTGAGAAAAATTAGACTCTTGTAATATATGTGTGAGGACTTATATTAACTGGTTCAGCTCTAAGTCTAAAACCCAGCCACTGGGAACCAACATTTATGTGGGGTAGGATGAGGGATCCCAATTGAGGAGGTGAACTAATTTTGATGACTCACTCCAATTATACATAGTGGAGGACATCTCATCATCTACACCAGCAGAACACCACCGCCCTACTCTCAACTGAATGGATTTATGATTATATATATATATATACACACATATTATCATTATCACATTCAGGAGGATGCCTCCGTGGTCCACCACGCCAGTTACTTCGAACAGGAAAGTGGTAAGGACTCCCATACTCTGCTGAAAGAAAGAAGGGTGAGAAATTGTGATGGAGAGTCCAGAGGAATGATAACATCTGAGACAGTATAACAGGTTACCACAAAAACCTTATTTTGAAATGCAGACCACACATGATTTATGGCATGGCAGGGATGGGCAGCTATCTCCTTCTGCTTTACACATGAAGTCCATACGTGAGTACAGTCCGAAACGGGCATATTAATGAAGCAAATATATTGTGAGGACAAACCTACAAGTGATCTTGTGGAACACCCCATCTCAGCAGTGTACATTTAGTAGCCATGGAAATTATAATTGTTAAGTCATCATGGTCTTACTGTGTGGTTTTGACTGTTTTTAAGTACACCTGGTCAGACACCATTCACCATAGAGCAGGATCCAGACAGTATAAAAAGGAAAAACCCCCTGAAAAGGAAGAGATATAGATATAAAAGATAACTTATCCAGTCACATTCTTACTGAAGTCTGAAGAATGGCTCCAGGAGGAAGATGATAACCTGAAGATGGAGATACAGTGATCTGATGCAGATAGTGAGATATGAACATATGTGGGGTAGTCCACATGCCTGAATCAAGAATTTCCTCTTAGGAATGACGGGAATGAGATGCTAGGGAAAAGTTAAGGTGCCTGATCTGATGAGAAGACACCTGGAATAAAGTAAGACAATAAGGAAGAATAAGCCAATCGAAGAGTGGAACGAAAAAGGTCACGAACAGAGAATGTCTGCCAAGGACTGAATAGGCGGGAATAGGCACCATGGAGGAAAGCTGGGCAGGCAACATAACAACAAAGAGCATGGACAGGATATAGTAGTTTATTCGAATCAGACCGAGAATAAAGGTGGGAAAAGAAAGAAGGCAAATCACTAAGAAGAAAGAATTACCCTCCCAAGCCACTGAAGTTTTGGGGAGGAAAAATTGATCCGGATAATGAAGAATATATGTAGAATGATATAGAGTACGTGAAACATCAATGGCAAATAAATTCAAACTACGATGTCTTCAGGCTAAAAGGAGAAGGAAATAAGTCTTAAGGGATAAGTGTAAAACTGAGCACAAGGACAGCAGTTAAAATGGAGGCAAAATGAAACAGTAAAGAACCACATTAACATCCCAATCCAAAAGCACATCACACCATGGTGGACAAATAATCTGGAAGGAACACAACAAGACAGAAAGGGTAGGAGAGATAAAAACTTTATGGTAACGGAAAAAACAAAAAGTAGTGAGATAAGGCAGCTCAATAATCCATGATCGAGGAGACAGAATATCCCTAATCAAAGAGCCAAGTGAGGAAATCCATAATATGAGGAACTGTGGGTTTACCAGGTGATAACTCCTGACCCAAAGACCAACAGCTGAAAACGTTCCGATTACATTGATAACCCATGATTGACGAGACAGAACATCCCTAATCAAAGAGCCAAGTGGGGAAATCCATAATATGAGGAACTGTGAGTTTAATGGGTGAAAACCCCTGACCCAAAGACAAACAGCTGAAAATGTTCCAATTATGCTGATAAACATGCCTAGAAGAAGGGCAAATGGAACATGCTAAAAAAGAACCTACCCTTTGGGACAAACCAGATCTCCTCGCCAGGGACCAGATAAAAACCAGGCATGAAAACTAAGGGTAGGAAGGGCTGGATGAAATGACAGTGACTGAGGTTGACATAGAATGAATGGAGTAAGAGGAAGAGGTAACAGAGAGGCAGACTGAAGCTAGAGCACCTGCAAGAACCACTGTTGTGCCGGCCAATAAGGAGCAATCAGAAGGACTTGACACAAAGTGGCATGGATGATTGTGATCACAATGTAAAAAAAGATGGGTGGGAGGATAAACATACAGATATTTGGTGGTCCAATCTTGACTGAAAGCATCGGCAGCCAGAGCAAGAGGATGCAGAACCAGATGTTGCAAATGTATCCAGGTGAGGAGTACCCCCACTGAAGGAACAGCCACTGGAAAACAAGAGGATCAAGAGACCACTCTGTTGGATAAACTTTGTCTGGATGGGAACGCCAATCTGCAACAAGATTGAATGCATCCGGAAAATGGCATGCAATGATATGAATACTAAGAATGTGGGCCCAAAAAGGAGGATCCAAGGTCTGATCACAAAGGGAATGAGAACGGGTGTCATCTTGGTGATTGAGATAAGCCACCTCTGTAGAATTGTTGGAATGGATCATGACTAGATGATTCCTGGCATGATGAAGGATCTCCAGGATGTTGGTATAATAAGATCTTTCAGTTGGAGACTACCAACCTGAAGCTTCTTGCTGATTGACACACACCCCTCAGCCCTGAAGGGAAGCATTTGTGAAGATATGTAAATCCGGATGAGGGGGAGGAAG